TCTTATCAGGTGGTTCTTGCTTAAATGCTGTTTTGATGCATGCTGTTAAAATAAGCTGTACGCTTTACCTCCAATAGATGCATGATGTGATTAGTCAACTAATCACAAAAATAATCAATCAGTCGACTATCAAAATAATCATTTGTGGCAGCCCTACTTTATACTCTGCCATGTGGCTAAATCTGATAATGCAGCTTAACTTTATTAAATGATTATCTACGTTGATAAAACATCATATTTCAGTTCGGCCTGACCATAATGCTACACTATACTGCCAAAAGTATTCACCCATCCAAGTCATTGAGTTCAGGTGTTTCAGGCTCTTCCATGGCCACAGGTGGATCAAATAAAGCTCCTAGGCATTCAGACTGCTTCTACAAACATTTGTGAAAGAATTAGTTGCTCTCAGGAGCTCGGTGAATTCCAGTGTGGTACTGTGATAGGATGGCAGCTGTGCAACAAGTCTAGTCATGAAATTTCTTCACTAATAAATATTCCACAGCCAGCTGTTAGTGGTATTATAACAATGTGAAAGCCATTGGGGATGACAGCAACTCCAACATACATGAAGTGGTAGGCGATGTAAAATTACAAAAGCAGGGTCATCTGCTGTTGATGCACATAATGTGCAGAGGTCACCAACTTTTGGCAGATTCCGTTGCTCCAGACCTCCACACTTAGTTTGGCCTTGAGCTAATTGGTCAAGAACAGTGCATAGAGAGCTTTGTGTAATGGGTTTCCATGGATGAGCAGCTGCATCCAAGTCTTACATCACCCAATGTTTGTGTGTTATTGTTTTATAGTTCTTGTGTATATATGAAACCAGAATGTCCTTCGACATAGTCTGGTGTGTTCTGTCTGCAGGATGTATGTTTTTGGCGGCTGGATTCCTGCTCCGGAGTCAGAGACACACATTGCTTTAGGAACTGAATGGATCTGCACTAGTTCCCTGAGCGTTCTCAACTTAGGTGAGTTCTTCTCATTATAGCCCCTTAAAATAACTTATGAGTGGTTTTGTAAATGAGATCTGGAGCCTGTGAGCCTTTTCTTTTTGTTTAATCTCATCCATGGAATTCCTACATCCTTCATGGAGGCCAGCAAGCTCACTGTTACCTGGTTTTCCTATCACAGACACTATGACTTGGCAGAACCTTGGCCCAGAGCAGCACGATGATGATATAGAGTCCCAGCTTCAGAGCCAGGGACCACAGACCGATGATCCATATGCCTGCAGGCCAAGAGCCAGGGCTGGCCACTGCGCCGCTAGCGTTGGCTCCAGGCTTTACGTTTGGAGCGGTCGTGATGGATACCGCAAGAGCTGGAACTACCAAGTGTGCTGCAAGGACCTGTGGTACCTGGAAACAGGTGAGAAACGGGGGAACGAGTTAGGGCAATGGGGTCGGTGCTGTGGGGGCAAAAAGCACAAATCTGTTTAAAAATCCTTTGGTCTCAGATCGACCAGCGACCCCAGAGGCAGTGCTGCTCATCAAATCTACTGTCAGCATGCTCCATGTGGCATGGCGCCCCCTGGCTGCGGCAGACTGCTATATCCTCCAGATCCAGCCTGCAAGTTCCCCGAGGACTACAGTGAGTGGTCCCAAACCAGCGGATCCAACAGGAATAGATGGTCAGAATGGAAAGGAAAAACAATCTGCTGGTAAGGAAAGCACAGCCTTCAGTGACTTCATCAGTTTATATTAAAATCTTTATTGGATTTAGATGGAAAGGTTTCTGTGTAGAGCTAATGGTCACTGCAAACAGAATACAATAAGCAGCAAAAAGGGAACAATTTCAATGCTTTCAGACCCATAAAATACACTATTGACACTATCAGTCTTTCTTTACTTTCTTTGTAAAATGGTTTGATCCCATCATTGTCAAAATGAAGAAACCGCAAACCGAGAAGAGAAAGGAGCAGCACAGGTAAGTGTCTTTCTTATATCAATAATAAGGGCTGGGCAATATGGGGGAAGAACAGTGATCAATGTCAATCAAATCACTTCTTGTGGGTGTTGTGTTGTCAGTGGGAGAAACAATTCATCGTCCAAGTGACTTCAGTCTTTGAAGAAGTCACTTTTTTCCCCTTTGTTTTCTCTCTTGTTATTGTTTCTGATTTAATCGTGTACAAAGCTTCAGTCGCCCAAATATCATGTGTGCTATTGCCGGCTGCCAGTCCTACACGGTGCTTCAGTTTAAAATTATGTGGCTATAGCTCAGATCCAGCCACATCATTAGTTCAGTTCAGTACTAATCTTATTAGCTTTTTGGGTTATCTGTCAAAATGTGAATGGAATGAGCTCTACTGGCTTTATCTTAACACTGAGGAAAAGTTATTTCACAATAACTGTATTTATCATTTTATCACCCAGAACTATCTATAAATAAGATTTAATACACAAACACTAACATACAGCCACACTAACACGCCAGCAGTCCAGACGTAGTGCTTAAATTTTCTCCCTGATGTTTTTTTTTTCTTTCTTTTTTTTGCTGCAGCAGGATACTTCAGCAAAATCTTCAAATGGCTCAGCAGACAGTCAAGCACGGGGTGGGAGGATCGATGGGAGAGACTTGAAAGAGGACTCTAACCTAAAACTTTGCAGTAAGTCTCTTATCAGGTGGTTCTTGCTTAAATGCTGTTTTATACAGTTCATTTCAGTTTTGTTTATATAACCCCAAATCACCATAACAGTCACCAAGCCACTTTTATATTGTAAGATAAAGACTCTACAGTAATACAGAAATAAACCCCAACAATCAGATGTCCTCCTATAAGCAAGCGATTGACAACAGTGGGAAGGAAAAACTCCCTTTTAATAGGAAGAAGCCTCCAGCTGACGCAAGGTCAGGGAGGGGAAGCTATCTGTTGTTACCAATTGGGGTTTAAGAATTTAAGCTCCTGCACAGTAATAGTCAGATATGTTTGCAGAAACATGGCTGCACAAATAAACACTTACTCCAGTTTATGACTTCTAATCTTAGACTCAACTTGAAAAAAATACAAAAGCAGTGCATTCTTTGACGTGGCTAGAGTAGCTTTGTATGAGTCACAGTTCAAATTATCCTTATTTATCATATACTCAGCCTTGGTGCAGGCACAGCACTGTTTATGACAGAATGTAAATGCTGAATAGGTCCACTTTAATATTTGCAGGCCACATCAGATTGTGTTACTGAACCGGATGTGACCTATAATGTAATTTAATTTTTCTCCAAAGCAGGATTTTGTTATTATGACATTTTTAGATTGTTTGTGTTTCTGTGTGTTCTGTTTGTAGCTGCTGGGCAGGAGACGGCAGCAGCAGATCTCAGCAGCTCAGCTCAGCTCCAGTCAGGTAATGGCTCTTGCACTCTAACATCAGTGATATTTGACTGGTGAGGATTTTAAAACGTGTTGATTGTTTTACCTTTTTACAGGCAAAAAGCCGGTTTCTGCAGACAAGACAGCAGATTTTTATACCCACACAGATCAGGTCGGATTTTCTTCTGATAGTGAATTTTTAACTCTGCCTCTCAGCTTGGTTCATACTAACACCACAAACCATCACCTTCAGGTTCGGCAGAATCCAGACAACGCTGTGTGGTTTGATGTCGGCGTGTTCAAAGCACTATTCTCTGAGGTCAGCCACTACTACCTACCTGCTGATGGTGACCAGGTGACGTCTGCCATCAACAGTCGGGGAACGAACACTAAAGAGGTAAAAACCAGAAGTGAATGGTGTTTATGAAGAAACCACTTATGGACTACATCTTACCCTCACATGCTCGCTCTCTCCTTCAGAAGAAGCTGCCAGGGCCTCAGGACTACCAGGGCAGAGAGAAGCAGGAGCTGGCTACCGGTCAGACATACAGGTTCAGAGTTGCAGGCATCAACTACTTTGGCCAGGGAGATTTCAGCCCGGTCAGCGAGTTCAAAACCTGCCAGCCTGGCTTCCCTGGAGCACCCTCTGCTGTTAAGATTACCAAGGTGACACACAGTATCAAGAAATATTGGTGCAAAGATCAGGAAAACTGGAAAATGTATTTGATGTGCTTTTCGGTATCGTTTGCATTAGGCCACTGATTCAGTCCACATCACCTGGGAGGCTCCTTCATCTCCATCGGGCCGGATCCTGGAGTATTCCATGTACATGGCAGTGAGGAAGAGCCGCTCATCCACTTCGGATCGGCCGGGTCAGATGGCATTCATCCGGATATACCGTGGCACCAAGACCTCCTGCTCGGTCAGTTCCAGCCACCTGGACAACGCGCACATCGACAGCTCTGCCTCCAACCGACCAGCAGTCGTCTTCCGGATCGCTGCAAAGAATGAGCAAGGCTACGGCCCAGCCACGCAGATCCGCTGGATTCAAGGTGGAGCAGCTTCAGATATTATTTATTTAAACTTCCTCTCACATTAAAATGATGGATGTACCAACCTCCTCTTTCTGTGTTTTATAGATCCCAGTACACTGCGAACATCGCTATCCAAAGCTGACAGCAGTGCTGAGGCTGACAACGACGCTGCTGACAGGTGATCGGAGTTTTTAACTTTTCTGCTTCGTTTATTTTTCAAAGTGGACACTTGTAATTGGTTCTTTATTTTCTTTCTTCTTGCAGCTCCAGCTGAAAATGTTTTAGGGAAAGGACTTTTCACTCAAGATGCTGGCAAATCTATTTCCCAATAGTTTTGTTAATTTATTTTTAATCTATTTAATTTTTACTTTGTAAATAGATTTACATTTTCACAGGCTGTTTGGCCACTGGTCTGTTTTAGTTAAAGTGTTTTGTTAAGTAATTATTATAGTATTATAAGATGTAGAAAACACTGCAAGTATTGTTTGAAATGCATTCAGGAAGACGTGAAGACGCCTCAGTGTTTACTGAACAAGCCACTGACGGGTTATGAGATGGAAACACGAGTGGTCCTTTTACAGGCCCCACCGGTCCCACGAGGTTATGAAATATCAGCAATGTTACTCATGTTTTTGTGTCTTCCTCAGCCACACTCAGTTACTGCAAACATGTTTCCGTTATACGTCTATATAATTTCAGTTTGATTTTTCTTTGTCTTTACATTTATCTCACTGTAATGTATGTGTAATACATCAGTGCTTTTATTAGCATGTTCAAAAGCCATGTACTCTTAACCTATTTCTGACATAAAATATTATTTCAGTATACTCATAGCCACAGAAAACAGTCACGTACTGGGTGAAAGGTATTACAGCTTTGCCATCTTCTCCATCTTTACCAGGTGCAGTAAAGATGCCACACTTTTTACCTGTTTCATTTTCCTCTTATAAAAGACTCGCACTCATCCATATATAGTGTCATCAGTTAGCCACTGGAATTTACACTGAGTAAATTGTTGTTTTTATAATTCAGATTATATCAATCTGGACCTGTTTTCTTGAAGATTTATAAATATAAATGTCATGATAGTATCAGCAAACATCAGCCTGTAATTGTCCTATTGAGGACACTCGCAGCTTTGCTTGGACCTCAATAATGTACAGACCACAGGCAGTTATTACAGAGGCTGGGTGAAATACTGTTGCAATATAATAGAAAACAAAAAAAGGGGTGAATTTACATTTTTCACTTTTAAAGCGGTGACCAGAGAGTGCACAAAGTTTCTAATGACAATCATTAGTGGCACTGTATAGGATGTAAAAGAAAGGTGCTCGAGATACGACTACCTGCTGGATGCTGGTGTAACACCTGTGTGTGGGCCGGTGGAGATGTGCTTCAGCATCTTTGGTCAGTTTGTTGCTCTGGATCAGCAGCAGCTTCTTCTGCTATCTAATTGCAGATGTGTGCAAGCTGCTCTGGTCTCACAGGTGATGAAGTCTAATGTGTGTATAACTAATCAATGTGACCTGCAATAATAATAATAATTAAAAAAAAAACATACATCCATCCATTCATCAGTTTTCTTCCACTTATCTGGGGCCGGGTCACTCGGGTAGCAGCCCAAGCAAAGAAGTCCAGACTTCCCTCTCCCCAGCCACCACCTCCAGCTTGTCTGGGGGAACACCAAGGCGTTCCCAGGCCAGCCGAGAGATAAAATCTCTCCAGCGTGTCCTGGGTCTGCCCCTGGGGTCTCCTCCCTGTGGGACATGCCCAGGAGGCATCCTTGTCAGATGCCCGAACCACCTCAACTGACTCCTTTTGATGTGGAGGAGCAGCGGCTCTACTCTGAGCCCCTCCCGAATAGCTGAACTTCTCACCCTATCTGTAAGGGCGAGGCCAGCCACCCTTCAAAGGAAGCCCTTTTCCGCCGCTTGTATTCGCAATCTCGTTCTTTCCGTCACTACCCACAGCTCGTGACCATAGGTGAGGGTAGGGGCGTAGAAAGAAATATGTTGTTCTCAAATATATATTTAGCATTTCAGTTAAAATATGAAGAGTCACTGCAACATATTTTGTTGAATGTGGTAAATGTGTGAAACAGCTGTGGTAATGTATGGGTTAGTATGAACTATAATGTGGAAATACCAGACTATATATGAAGGTTTGATACAGTAGCAAATATCATAATTATTACTGTAACAGATATAGCACATGCTTACAGGATGAACACTTTTTAGTAAAAATGTCAGTAATTTTCCACTGTACAACCTGTTTATTTGCTCGTTAAAAATTATCTAATCAATAATAAGACAGCAGGCATGTAGACGTGAACGAGATGACCTGCCGCAGTTTAAACTGAGCATCAGAATGGGAGAAAATGGATGATTTATTTGACTCCGGGCATGTCATGGTTGTTGGTGCTAGATGAGCTGGTGCAGCTTCCTTTTCCCTGAAAAGTAAACTTCATTCAGATTGGCTGTCCCTCAAAAACAAAATCACACCAAAAAAGTCAATGTTAAACACTGAGATCACAGGCTGATCCGGCTCATTTCATGTGGCTCGGGAGAGGTTCTTAATTTATTTCATGTCTAGGGAATGTGAAGGCCAGTCATCAGCGTCAGTGCCTTCCTCATTTATGAGTTGCCTTCACACTCTGACCACATGAATGACCTTCACAAGGAACCAGAAGTAAGCCTCATAGTAAAGTCTGAAGGGTTCAATAACAGGAGTCAGTACTGTTGGTCTGTGTGGTGCTCCTTGGATAACCATTGCCAAACTATCACTAACTTACTGCCAAACCAGCAATACTGGAAGATGTTATGCAGGTAGCACAACATCTGTCATGTTCTTTCCACATTTTTTCCAGATCTGTCACATGTACTCAGTGTAAACCTGCTCTTATCTGAAAAACAATGAGGTGCCAATGGTGGACCTACCATTTCTGGTGTTCCCCATTGAACACCAATCAGTCTACATGGTGCTGATCTACGAACACAGGTCCTTTCAGGCCCTCATGTCATGCTCATGGAGACTTCTTGACCATTTGTTTAGAAAAATGCACATGAGCACCCTGATAGAGGTTATCTTGTGGGGCTCTGGCAGTGCTCCTCCCGTTCTTCCTAAAACTGGAGCAGATGCCAGTCCTACTGACAGATTGACCGCCCAGCCCAGGTCTCCTCATGTAATGGCCCATCTCCTGGTAGCTCCTCCACACTCTTGAAACTACTGGTAGACACAGCGAACACTCTTGCAATAGCACACATAGATCTTCTAGAAATTGAACTACCTGATTAATCTGAATGGGCTTCAGGTCATGCTGCAAGTAATGACACTTGCAAAAAAAGCTAAATTAGAAACAAAATAGCCAAGGGGCTTAAGGAAAAAGCAGTAGTCTTCAGACCAATGTTCTTTCTAGGAAACGCTGACACTTGAAGTATTGGTGTTGACCATTCTGGAGGTGGTCAAAGTGGCCAGAAGACAGAGGAAAATGCCCCAGGGAAGCTAGCAGTGAGTGAATGTCCCCTGCGTGGGTAAATGCGCACATTCGCTTCGGAGACTATCACGGATCCTGCTGTATAATAACCTCAGCTGGAAGAAGCGACAAACCAAACATAGGAGAATGCTTTAAATACGGGTTTGGGGTTGTTTACCTGAGAATAGGGAAAGGCACTATCCTGTGAACCAAAGTGCATAAGCTCAGAAGGACGTAATGGACATTACAATCGGCGATTGTAATTTAAAACTTAGCACCTGCACACTCAACACTGATATAGAATAAAACGACTCAACTGAATAAGTTTCTAAGATCTTAATTAAGGAGTCTTTATTCTCCAAATTTACTTAGACGTAATTACATATTAAAAGATTTCCAAAGGGAAGAAATTGAAAAAATAAGAACTGATTATATCACCTTCCCTATCCCTCCTAAAGGGAAAGAAGTCAAATTTAAAATTTTGAATAAAATTTACCCGACAAATAGACTCAAAATAGATTCAAAATAGAAACTGGTAATTGTGTATTTTGTGAAACAGAAGAGGAGGATTTGGACCATCTATTCTTTTTGTGCAATTTTATACAAATATTTTGGTTGGATTTTCATACCTGGCTTTATTCCAGTGGGATTCAAATTACCCCATTTACCTTAAATATGATAATGTTTGGAGTGTTTTTGAAAGAAAAGAAAGCTAATTATGGTGTTAATGTGTTATTAATCTTGTGCAAGCAATTTATACATAAATGTCGTTTTTTTAAGACCAAACCAACATTAGCTTACTGGAAAAACGACTTAAACCTGTTGGTTAAATCTTTGACCTTAGTTAAAAAGAAAAAGACTGCTTTTTTGTTTCCTTTGTGGGAGATTTTGATGTAGTGAGTTAATAATCTGTTAAATTATGTGACCCCATCTTTATATTTTCTTTTTCCTATGTATGAAAGTTGCTAATATGTAAGGAATGTTTATTCTCTGAATGTGTAATATATGGTGCATTTTGTTTGTATGTTAATATTACTAATAAAAAAACAAAAACAAACGTGTGTTAAATTTGAAAAAAACAAACAAACACGACTCAACTACACAATCCTTGGTTACGGTGGCATAAAGGGGAAGGTAGTGGAGAAGGGTGGTCTCGAACCCCGGAATACCGGTTGATAGTCCTTCGACCTAAGTGCTATGCCACTGCCACCCCACAACAACCCCGCAACAGTCCTTTACTTAAAGGCAGAGAGAGGCGTGGAGAACGATGGGGACGTGACGCGGGGACGTGACGTCTTGAAACTCGAGTTTGCTTCTCCTTTATCACCAGCTTTGTTTCTAAATCTAAAATTAAGATACAGATATATATTGGTGCCTCAGAATGTATATAAAAGACGGATACATTAAAAGGCAGAGATTTCCGATGCTATGTTTATGTGTAATATGTTTGCTTATGTCGGTAAATAGACGGTAGGAAACATGATTAATGATAATTCCGCAAGTTGGACTCAACCTCGCGAGAAATACGTTGGAAAACACTACCCATGACCCCACAGTTTGTAGTTTACAGATTAGCTAGCTAGCAAAAACAAATAGCTAATAAGGAAGTAAGAAAAAAGTCTCAAACTCGGGAGGTAAGTGCTGTTCGGCAACCACCTTCTCACATCTGGGGAAAATACTGTAACGGTACTTTTATGGGTTTCTATTCCGTCGCTAGAACTACAAATGTGCAAGAACGTCTACTTAATATTACCCATGTTAATAAGTTAGAGCTAGCATTGTCCATTGGTACATGGCCAACCAAAGATAGCTTGTAGACAACAGCTTAAAGAACCGCGTTAGATTGATTTCAGTGATGCCTGTTTTCGTTAGAAATGTAGCTAGAATGCCAGTGTTAATCATGGGCAGTGAAGCACAGTATTTTCACAGAAGATAAAAAGAAAACGGCGGAAGTAGTGAGTGTCCGATAACGGACCCACTGGAGCGGCTAGGCGGCTAGTTAGCATGTTTTGCGGCGCGATATTTAAAATAAACGCTGGACAATGTCAGGGGAACATGTTTTGAAATATAATACAATAACAATAGAATTTGTAATATTAGCTGTAGCTGTTTTGTACAGAGCTAATTTCGAAGACCTTTCACCAACTACCAGAGTGAGCATGAATATTGTTTGTGTTATTCTTTACTGAAGTGAGCGAAGTTCATGGTTCTGCTATTTTCATTTCTTTAATTTCTGACCAACTGGCAATAGTCTGAAATTATTTTAGGATTAGTCGGGGTGCTTGAGGCTGAAGTGATGTAGCAGTGGCAATCACGGCCCACTGGTATCTTCAGCAGCCAGCTAATCACTTGAGACAGATGCAGAGCTTTCGATGCTAAGAGGCTGTGATTTTAATAAGTAGCTGGGGAGGTTCTTCTTAAAGCCACCATGGTTACTAACTGACAACAAAGCCACCAAGTCAGCTCTGGCTTTACTACACTGCAGGCAGTTTTATTACCATTACAAAGGAAGAGATTTTTTGAAAACCTCTGTTCCTTTGCTTGGTTTACCCAGCCTTTTTTTTAAATGTATTTATTTATTTAATTTTTGTCTCTTCTTGTTTTGGGATCTTTCCTGTAGAGGTGAGATGACCTCCTCCACCCTTGGTCAGTCGGCTCCTCATCTGCCAAACTTGGAACCGGGGATGGGGAAGCCCGCAGCCATGCTGGGGTTGTCAACTGGATTGGGGGGAGCAGAGATGGAGCTGCAGAAGATGCTGATCGACGAGAGGATGAAGAGTGAGAACCACAGGAAAAATTACCAGACATTAAAGGCGGAACATACCAGGTGAAAACAAATTTTATTTGATACTCAATGACACTATATGTCTGTGTAGGGATCACTTGGAAACAAAATGCTATCTTCAACACTGCTAAAAATGGGGAAACTTTAGAGAGGACAGAAGATTGTAATAAATGTGTCTGGGGCAAATTTTAGTTATTCTCTTCTTTGTCTGTTGTGCAGCCTGCAGGATGAGTACACACGGGCACAGGCTGAGCTGAAGCGCCTGCTGAGTGACAAACAGTCTGAGCAGGAGAAACTGCAACTGCTGTT